GCCGGGCTCTTCCTAATTTGCATAATCCGTAATCGGCCCGTGGGCATTACGGCTGCATAATGACCGTTCAAATTTCGCTCTTAGCCAATCAGAGCGCGCGTTATATCGGCCACAAGCCAAAGCCATATAATAATATCTATTATTATCTATTCGGGCATACCTCCCAAATATCTTCAGTCCCGAGGTAGCTCTTTATTAACTCAGCCATTATAAACCCAAACTGAAGGATGTTCTTTCCTAAAATGTCCATTACCGCGTGCCCATTTTTTGCGTATTCTGGAAAATCTTGAGCGACCCTCTGAGCCGAGCCAAATCCTCCCAAAACTGCTTTTATTGGGGGCACCTAATAAACAGAAGTTTTGAAATTCAAGCTTAAGGTCATATATTGATTAGATTTTGTTCGCTTAGGTAGCGTTTGATGTACGCTTTTGAGAGTTGTTACACGTATCATCGAGCTCTCCCCTTCGTTTCAAATTGGATTAAAATGTAGTCGTGCTAGCAGCAGTTAATTACATTGCACACAAAGGTGTCCAAATTACTTGGTAATTTGGGCATTATCCAAATTAAAAATTAACTTGGACATTTTGCAGAATTAACAAATAATTGTGCACGTACCTGCATGGACTTCTGAGATGATAATGTAATTGAACATGTACGTGTAAAATATGTTCTACTTCCTAGTCGCATTTACGCACGATCAATTGACAGTAAAATCTCGCTAAAGCCTGGTTTTTACCAGGGACGCAAGCACAAGGGCAAGCACAAGCGCAAACACAATAACTCTTATTTCACCGGCATAAGCACAAGGGCAAGCACAAGCACAAGCACAAAGATCAAAATTTTTCCTTTTTCTTGTGCTTGCGCTTATGCTTACGTTTGCACCGCAACAAGGGAAAACGAAATAACGCTCAGGCATAACACAAGCACAAGGATATTTACCACACGTGGTTAAGTTTGGCCAATGAAAACACTGGATTCAGGTTACCTCGCGCCTAAACAGTTTGAAGGGTTCGGATGATTTTGCTTGTGCTTGTGTTTGCGTCGAATTTCGTTTTCACATGGGTCATCTGTATTGCCCGTGTTTGTGCTTGCGCTTGTGCTAGCGTCGTTAGTGAAATAATGACTGATGATGCTCAATGATGCTCACTGGGAACAATCAATCAATCAAAACAAAAGATACTCAAAAGAAGTTTGCACATAAACCTCAAAAAAGATAATACATTTTTTGAAAACAAAAGTGCGCAACTTGTTACAGTGTATAAATATTACCCTTTGTCCTCTTCCGATTAAGACGTTGGCTGTTGTGATATTGTTATGGACAACACCTTTTTGCTCCATATAGTGTATTGCATAGATCAAGTCGATGGCCACTGCTAAAACCACATCTAAGTTCAATGTGATTCTGCTGTTTCGCAAAAACTCGTCCAACGTCGCACTTGACGCATAGTCGTAACACAGCAAACTGAATTTGGAAGAAAATATAAAAAGTGTATATCATATCTGACTCATGGAAGTATAAGTTCCAAGTTTTTAAGGGATTTATCAATAGCTTCTGAATAGTAGTCCAAGAGAGGATTAAGAGAATTCAAGGAACTTGAATGGCAGTTGATCCAAAAGTAATGTATAAACAGGGCTCAAAAGGCGAGTAAAGTCGATTATTCACATAAATAATTTTACTTACAATGAACTTTTCTTGAAACGAGGAAAACTCTTCCGCTTGTAATTTAACACACATTCATCAGCTAGAAAAAAGTCGCCAAATAATAGCACCTTAACATGGTCTGACACTGGTTTTTCAGTTATTACTGTTGTGTGCTACCCACAATAAGTAAAGCTGATGATGATGATTATTATTATTACTATTGTGTATACTTGTATGTATGTATACTTAATTGGCCACTCCCCATTGGGGCTTTTCAAGACCAATGTAAACAAACAATGATAAATAAATATTCAAATAAAGATAACTAGGTTAAGAATCCCAACTGGCGGGAGGCAGATCAGTTGGCTATTTACAAGCGCAGCCGAGAAGTTGAACTCGGGGCTACCGAGAACAACATCAGCTAGCGGTTACTACTACTACTACTACTACTACTATTATTATTATTATTATTATTATTATTATTATTATTATTATTATTATTATAATTACGATTAGTATGCGAACTGTTACGTCTGTTGTTTTCCTTTTTCTTTTAATGTTGTTTGTTACGAGACAAGTAAACTATGTCATGTAAATAAATAGAGCTAATCAGTAGAATCCTTATGACCATTATAGCAACGCGAAAGAATAGAGAGAAAATATAGTAGCACGAAGGGGCAGCTCAGTAAGTATAATAGTAATGAGTAATATTATTGCTGGGGCGAATCATTTGGCCCAGTATTTTTTTCTTTTCCGGTTTCTTTTTCTCTCGTGTCGGGCGCTTTTCTTTCAACCAAAGATTTAGGAAATATGTAATGTATGAATAGCAGCAGATGGCACGGAAATTTGATGGCAAAGTTTATAGAAAATCGAAAAATTGCTCACTTTCCAAAATAAGAAACATACATCCAAAACTTCCGGAAATTCTGAAAGTAAAATCGTATAGCATAGGAATTTTTGGAAACAAATTCCAACGTTCAACTGCTTCTCACGAGGTTGTCTCCTTCTTCCGAACTTTGGGAAACATTCTCCACTCCGTTACAATCGGCTTGAAAAATGATATTTCATTCACCAATAGAAATTTTGAATATTCAAGCACGAATTTTAGGTGGATGGAAAGCGCCTATATAGTACGCTGGAAAAACACTGTTCTGGATCGACGTTTTACCACAAAAAATTAAAACAAGCAAATAATTTTGTGATTGTCATAAATCTTATTAAATTCCACACATGGAAACTAATTTCCATGTAGATCACGCAAGGAAGACTTGTGTTGTATCGTGTCTAAATTTGCAGACTGGATCACAAAAATATGAAAAATGGCGCTATTTCTTAGTAAAAATGGTCATGTTTTTCATCATCGTTGTAATAGACCATTGACGTACGAGGAACATCGTTACGTGTTTGGGGATTTTTTTCATGAATTCAGCGAGATGGCACGAGGGAGGAGCGATCATCTAACTAAACAGCACTATAATCCTGTGACACACATCAGATACATGAAAGAGTCAAGACGTGATACTACCACCAAAGAGCCTCAGGGCAAACCTAACGAAGTTCGTTCAAGCTGTTATGCAAGAAAATGCGAGGAAATGGCAAGCTCCTGTAAGTTGAGCCCAAAAGAAAGGTCCGGGGGCTTTCCTAAAAGCACAAAAAACAGTTTCTGAAGTTTTTGGCCGACAACGCTTGAACACAGCAGCATTTTGTGTAATTGTGGCTTGTACGAAGAGCAAGCTACAGGCTTCCATCTTCAAAACAAGTGGAACACCGATCTAGTGGCAGGAACAGTTTACAGACTTTAAGGAAGTTCAATGTCTGAAGACAGTATCGTATTTCCGTGGCCAACTAAGTTGGAAGTCTTTCTCTCGCTTTCTTGCCTAATTATTGAAAAAAATAATCCACCAACCTGTAACAATGTTTTTCGCAAAACAACACTTCAAATGTGACTCTTTTTTCTCAGAAATCATGTGATTTTGAATACTTTTGTGATTCAGTTACCAGATTTGGACAAGGTGTAACACACGCCTTCCACGCGTGATCGATATAAAAACAACTTTCCATGTGGGGAATTTACTTAGGTTTTTAAATCTTATTAAAACTTATTTGCGACACTTTGCTTGTTTTAATTTTTTGTGCTAAAACGTCCATCCAGAACAGTTTTGTCCAGCCTGTAATTCAAATCAGCATTTTAAGCTTCATAATAAAAGCAGGACATGATATTTTTCCATACCTCGAGCATGCCAGCAATATTTGAGAATGTTAGCGTGTCCGTCTCCATCACTCAGTTCTTTGACTAATTCGGTCTCTTTCCTCCAAGCGTCTTCCTGAGCGTTTGAGAAATATTTAATCAGTCGCATGGCCATATCATTTTTATTTCCCGACCACGCTACAACAAATCCCTGAAAGAAAATAACAGAAAATAATTCAAATTGATGGTGGTCGTGCTGGTATTCTATATTTAGTGGTGGGCTAGACTGATCGGGGTTGCTTAAAGTTGGGATTGTTAGCTCGTGAATCTAGCATTAGAAATATAATTTTACGTTAAGTCAAGGGCAATACAGAACACGATAAATGAATTTGGTTTGCATTAAGCTTTCAAGCTATAGTTTTCATTTAGAAAAATACGGATTAATACGAACTTCAGAACCCTCGTTCGGGGGTCGAGCTCACTAACCATGAGGCCACCACGCCTCCAGCTTTCTCAAGGTACAAGTAGATTATAAACCCTCTATGATTGTTAACTTAACAGTAATCTCATATTGCTCAGTTTTTATTGGCCATGGCCGGTCAATAAATTCGGCCAAAAAGCCAGGATACAAACTGATGCGTACTTGACTGCGCGTGAAAGCTATCGGCANACACCATTTACACCAACATATGTGTGACCTTTGACATGACAGTTGCTACAGCATAGTCAAACAGCTCTGCGCTACTTAAAAAAAAACAACAAAAAAACGCTTCTGTAGAACACAGCATGTAAAGCCCTTCTGCAACAATAATACGGGGAGGAACGTAGACCGGACTCGAGAAAGCGGCGGAAATCGAGCCTATTCAACGATCAGCGTGACAGTAATTATGTATAGAACGAGTCAGACATCCTTACCACTGAAAATGAGGTCTCATCCGGGAACACTTTTGGTGTTTCGATCAGCTTCAAATCAGTTTCAGGTTTCTCACATTGTGGTATCTCATCTAACGGCCGAGCTGATGAGGTTGGAATTGGAGATGGACTCAAACTTGATTTGACGGTTGACTGAGAATCGCTTGGGACAATACTGTTTCCGCGATGTAATAAACTAGGTAGTACACTTTGTTGCACTAAGGAAAAAAAAATAAAATAAAATAAAAAGATGCTACTGTCGGCTTCCACATACAGAATTTATTGACTTCTTTTCTGTAACCTTTTACACATTTTAAGCACAAAGCTTGATTATAGTCTTTTTCCGTAATAAAATGCTACAGAAAGGAAAGTATGTGCGATGTGTTTGTGATGACCAACCATATAAATAAGAATAGGAATCGGTTATATCACTAGCCTATGTCAAAACTTTATGTTTCCCTCTGCTCCCACCTTTCTCCTCCGCAGACGAGGAAAAAAATCATCGATACTTGCTGGTTATGGTATCCAATACAACGTTATACGTCTAAAACTAATAAACCAAATACACACAAAAAATACTTTGTAAATTCTATAGTGAGTAAACTAAAAAAGGAAATGCAACAAACCTGAAGACGAAGTGCTTCGCGGCCATCGCACTGTTCTTCCAAAAAAACTGCTCATTGCTTCCGCCTTTTCAGTGACTTTTCTCCTGACCTTTGGAGTTGAGAATGTGTAAAGTATGGGGTTTATAGATGAGTTGACTGGAAGGACAAATACCGCAATCCACACGTAGGCTTGTTTTTCAGGATCGTGAAACTGTCCGCATAGAGACAAAATTCCAATAATGATGACAGGCATCCAGCACAGGAAATCGGTTAAGATGATGAAAACCATTCTTTTTGCCATTTGCGATTCTCTGTTCATATTCGTGGACCTGACTTGCTTTGAAACTCTTTTCACTGTGAAGAACATAATTGTGTAAGCAGCAAGAATATAAACGAATGAGGCAAAGTTTAATCCGATGAAAATCCCCACGGCATATTCCCAACCAGCTTGCCGTTCTGACGAGAGATGGAGAGGAAGACACACAGCTGATTTTCCATAAAATCCAACATTTCGCTCCTTGTCATAGAAAAATTCCAACCCAAATGTTGGAATAATGGCTATCAATGTTCCAAAAACCCATATCCCGGCTACAAAAATGTAAGCAAATTTTCGATTTATTCGTCTCACTTTAAACGGAAAAACAATACAGATGAGCCTGTCAGTTGTGATGAGCGTCAGCATAAGCACAGAAACCTCGCTTGAAATCATCGACAGGACGCCAGTATATTCGCACATTTTTCCAGTCCTCCAGTCAATGTCATGTTTAAAGTATTCACCTTGCCACTGTACGTCTTGGAAGGCAATGATGAGCAAATAGACGCCCATGAGTAGATCTGAAATTGCCAGGTTTGTCAAAAGAAAAGAGTGTACTTTGTTATCTTCTTTCACAATTACTCGCATCAAGATGACAAAAAGATTTCCAACAAGGGCGGTAAGCCCCAGAATCCAAACACAAACTTGAACGGCTTTGTTTTTCATCAAGTCAGAGCAGCTGGAGAACTCATCTTTTGGTGAGACGCAATGGACACCGGGCGCTGCTTTTTCGGCATAACAACAAAGGATAAATTCATCAAGGTAACTAAAAAGGAAAAACATAGCTGTAAGTTAATTATTTACTCAAACACTTTTTCTGTTGCTGTTTGAAACAACACCTTGATGTTATTGTTTTCATTCCTGTAGAGTGATCCTTGTAACTTTCAGACTGAAACAAAAAGGTCCTTCGGTATTGTGAGCACTTCCTTAAATTACTGACGTTACTTCTTACCGCCACAATAGGCAAATTCATTACAACCACTTACAGTTCCTTCACGCTGGTTAGTGCGTTAAAAGCCTCTGGTGAAAAATCTTGCAAACTAAGAGAATTGTGACTCAAATTCCTAGTAGAGGATAAATAAGGATTAATGGCTATACAAAATTACTAAACAGAAGCAATTGCTATAGGACAAAATCATGAAACAATGCTAGCATAATTGTGTAGTATAACTTGTTTGCGATTTCCTGAAAGTGCGGTTTTTGATCAATTATCGGTTTTACGGTTTTGCCCAGAGGCAGAGTCTGTTTCTTTCAACGTTGCATTGGACACACCGACATGCAGAATACCAGGTTGGTCGATTTCATACAGGAAAGCTATGCCTTTGATGTTAGAGATTTATACTGTATTTAAAATTTAATAATTATAATTAATTTCATCTTAATCTTCAATAGCATACGTCAGTTTACATACAAAACAACAGTTTATGAGTTCTTTCCCTCTCTCCAATGTAAAAACCCCAAATTACTTACAATTTCTCCAAGGAGGACAGTCCAGCTAATGTCTTGGAAGTCAATCTTTGAATCTTGTTGTCATTTAGGAGCCTATAACATAATGTGTTTGAGGATATTTCATAGAATATTATACAAAATGCACCATTTATCATACTGATTCTTTCGCAGTCTTCGCCTCACGCAATTTTATTTCGATTGCCATTTTTCCGTGCTTGAGCAATCTTATTGATTTTCCTAAAGTTGTTTAAAAAAGTTGGAAAACGTGCTTTGAGAAAATATGGCATAAACTGATATTACTTGATTTATAATTAATCTAGGACACTTGGACGACTTGATTTCTTTTCTTCACTAAGAATTTAACCGCCAAAAAAATGAAATTGTAAAGATGGTGTGTTACTAATTAACAATGAAGAAAAATCATTTTTAAACTTACAATATTTTAAGCTTCGATAAACCAACGAATATATTGTCAGGTAGCTCTTCCAGTAAATTCTGTTGAAGGTACCTTAATGCAAATTTATTGAAGGGAAAGGTTAACTTCTCAATTAAGACATGATATAAGAGGGTCTGCATGGGGCCAACTGACAAATGGCAAAAAAAAAAAAAAAAAAAAGTTGACAACTGACAAATACCCGAAAATTTAACTGACAACTGACATTTGTAGTCAGATTTACAAACAACACACCAAAGGCTTTATCCCTTGATATTCGTTTGAAATTCAATGAAATATTATTACTTTAACCTTTTTAGACCTAAACCATCACTTTGAGTCTTCTATCAGTCTGTTAATATCAATCATTTACAACTTGACACTCATGCTATTTGTTACATGATCCCATGCGCTTCAGTACAGAAAATCGAAATGTCTGCTGTTATTTTTAAAGCGATTGTTAGCTTCTATCGTCTCAAATTTGAACGTCATAGATGCCGAGAAGCTTGAATGAAGAAGCAACAAAATATGGCCTTGGTAAATACAAACCGGTAAAGCGTAACCACAAGTATCCCAAGCTCCTTTTGAGCGGTGAACATTTTTACACTCTGTTGCCTAATACATCGTAAATGTACAAAATTTTAACTGACATAACTGACATTTGCACCACCTCCCACCCCATCTAGCTCCTCCCATAAAGTAAAAGTAAAAGCACGTGTATAGTGTGCTTTGGTTAACAAACTAACTATCAAGTAAACGACATAATTTTCTTTTTAAGACTTACAAATGTTCCAAGTTTCTGGTCTCGTTAAACGCGTCCTTATCAATCATCTTTATACGATTTCGTCTCAGGCTCCTTCAAGAACAGCATGGGCAATAATGTCAATTTAAGAAGATGGTATTTAATCATCATTGAATTCAATTGAGACACTCTGACGAGCGTTTTATAATTTTCCACTTACAATGTTGTCAAGGACGTCAGTGAAGCCAAGGTCGTCGACGAAATATCTTCGATCAAGTTGAAACTACAGTCCCTTCAAAGGTGAAATGAAAATAAAAAGAGATCCATACAAAAACAATTGTATTGTTTATTTGATTGTTTCTTCAGATCATAATTAATTTTACTTACAAAGTCTGTAGATTTAACATATTCACAAACATTCCATCAGGTAAGGTCCTTATAAAATTCCTATCAATCTTCCTGAAACAAACAAACAAACAAAAAAAAAAACGTTTTCTGGTTGAAATATGTACAGGTTGATATAAAAAGCCAGAGCGGAGCTAATCCCGGCTACCTTGGCATAAAGCGACTGAAAGGAATTTTTCTCCTCCAGGATGGAATGCTATTCCTCTACTGGGCTACCTTGAGTATTATATTTGTCATTACCCATTTATATGCCTGGGTCAGTGAAGACGGGCACAGTGGGAGATAAATGCTCATGAACACAACGTAATGACCCAGCACAGGGCTGAACTATCTGAATGGCCAAAAAGTCCATTGTAAGCATGGCAAGTTCAACTGAACAGCGTTACCATCAATCAACGTGTGTTTGGAACAATGGTGCAACGCTGCAAGACATTTTATTTGAACGGTGCATATCAAATTAATATCGAGAGGCTGTTAAATCAAAAATTCATTTTTCCATCAGCATTTCATAGAGATATTTGACAAGTAAGTTGTTTAGCTGCCATTGTATGGCCGAATATAGACGGTTCATGAACATATATTTATAAAAATTATAATATCTAGTTGGACCTCTTGCTTGACTAGGAAGCTTGTGTAACCGGTAACTGCCTGCCGGTAACATCCTTATCAGTCAGTGGTTGTGCTCAAATTTTTGCACTTACATAGTACGTAGTAAAGAAACGTTGGCAAATGCACCCACTGGCATTCGGAAGAGACGATTTTCACTCAAGTCCCTAGAAAGATTTAACAGTGAATGAATTGATGGAGTCAAAGCTGATAGAAAAATTCTGCATATTTAGAGTAAAGCTCTTCTCGGCATTAGTGTACTAAAAAAGGACAACTTACAGCAATAGTAATATTGGCTACTGAATATTAAGTCTACACCTAAAATGTAGTTTGACAGAATTGTGCCTGTATATGTATAGACATTTATTAAATAAGTGATTTTAGAAGAACTTATGATATATTCCTTTCTAGCCTAAGGAGTATTGACGTATTTCAAATGAAATGTGCTCGCTACAATTTATTCAAGAAATTGAATGATTGCAATTTAAAAGTAATTACATGTGTTGTCCAGAGATTGTTCGTGTACTTACAAATACTTCAACACTGATAAGCCAGACAATTGTTTCTCTGGTAGATGCGAAATTTTATTTTTCTGAAATAGTCTGTGGGAATAACAAGGAAGAATAAAAAGGAGTTTTTTCAATGATGGATAACCTAACATACATGTATGTAATGCCCAATACTTAATAATAGATAATAATGATAAAGTTAGTCTTATATAGCACTGCTTCTTCAAAATCGACCAGCGCTTTACAAAATACATAAATTAGCTAGATATAAAGTGAAGTATATATGAAATAATTCATATTTGAACTGCGGTAGTAGATGAAAGTGAAGTATGATCATCGNTTTCCTGGTATAGCTGTTAGTTCTCTCCCTGCCTTTACCGTGATCACCATTTCACGCTGTTTGGAGGAAATGAAGTTACACTCACAGCTGGAAGGACAACCTTTATGGAGAGAAATTCACAGTGCATTAACAGCTGGAATTTCATTCGATCCTAACTTTTCAACCAAAACATTAACAATTGAAGACTCTAAAATCTTTGATAACTTTGGATCCTTTTCACATCTTGTATGACGACAATTAACTAAATACTGCAATGCCCTGAAAGATTTGCGAAAAAGGACTTGTTACAGCTAGTACTCTAATTTTTACTTTTAATATTTTCATTGTTGTAAGTGCGAGTGCAAATAAAGATTGATTGATTGATTCTAACGATAGTCAGGATACTTTGTCCTTTATACTATTTCAGCTTTTGTATATGAGACATGAGATATCAAAGCAATTTTACTCGATTTATTTATTTTTTTAGGCCTGGGTTAAAATTTTTAAACCAGGACTTATGCATGCAAGTCATACCTTCATACTGGACGCAGTTTATTTTGCCATTGGTAGCTAAAAGTAAATAAACTTCATCTAAATGGTATATTCATTCATTATTTAAACAGTGTAACTAAAAGTCACAATATTATATATTATACAATACATAAAATTGATATTGCAAAAGTTTTTACGCTTTATCTAGGATAATGACAAGTGAGGCGTAATCAGCTGAAAACCGACGCCTTTGTTCTTCTGGATATATTGAGCATTGTTTTCTACAGAAAATCATAATTAAGATAAATGACATTCAATTTTAGTTCCAGGTAGGAGCTGGAAGCGTTTTTTTTCCTATAACGAGTCAGTCACATATAATCTTCAAATATTCTGTTCAGTTGCGTCTAATCCTCTTTTCTTTCTGAATTTCTTGCTCACAATCGTGATACGGTATTCGATTAAAGCTATGCAAATGTGCTTTGATCTGTACTGAACATAGGAAATCCCCAAAGAGATGGTTAACTTCTAAGGGTTGATGTTTTTGTCAATCAGAAAGAAAATTAATTGATTTACTGATTTGCTTCCAAATTTATTTACTCTTCCATCTATTCATTTGGTTAATTATTTTCGCTCATTTATCTGTTTATTTATTTTCTTTCTTTTTTGGTCTATTCATTCTTCTTTATTAGAGGGCGTTTTCTGCTATCATGAATTTTATGCATCACTTACCTTTTTCCGAAGTATAGTATAGTTTCAGCCCGGCCCTTGTTATTTTTTCGTCGCTTACGAAGATTATTTCCATAACGTTTGAAGATGACTGGAGAAACTCTGGAAATCGCTGTCCACAGTATCTTCCCAGAAGTGTCCTTGACGTGCCGCCATCGTATACCTCTATGTAGTCATTGTAACAAGATGGGTGATCTTCTAATTGAAACTCCAAGAAGCGCAGTTTTATCGTCCTTTCTGAGGAAACCTTGATCAACCAGCGACAGCGAATCAAAGGAGGATAATATCCAGGGTAGCGTGGGGAGAACATTAGGCCTGATGAATTAGTAAAGTTTCCGTCACATGCTGAAGGAGAATGAAATAGTGATCAATAGTAGATGATTCAAACGATAAAAACAGACATACAAACAAAAGAATATCAAAGTATAAAATGTTACCCATGATGCCCTGTACCTTGTGTTGCTTTGAAAGGAACTGGATGACAATAGCCAGGTGTGACGCGCAAAGCACGGAGACCAACATACCCAGGGTCTTTACTCATGTCTGCCTCAAACGAAACCTAGATCAAAGCGCAATCAATTATTGATTGAAAGTGTTTGTAACCAACAGACATAGAATTAATTTTTTTTTTCGAATAAAAATATGCCAGTAAAAATACACAGGATAACTAGTACTATTCGACATTTACGGAGCGTTTTCCAAAAGGTTGAACAGAAAGCAAAACAAAACAAAACAAACAAGCAAACAAACAAAACAAACGACCAAACAAATTAACATTACAATACAGTACATTTGCAGTGTTTCAGCAAAAAAATTTTACTTGAGGGCCAAAGTGGCCCCTGAAGATCTTTTTCAGGGGCCATTTTTTAGGAAATGGGCCACTAAATTGAAAGCTACAGAAGGAAAAAATGCATCAGGGTACCAAGGAACATAAAGCAGTTCATTAGAATCTATGATAAAATTTAATAGTAAGTGCTTTTTGAAGGGTTTGTACTCAATAAAGTTTCTTTTGAATCAGACAGTAGTATGAAGGATCCGTGCATTACAAGAGAACAATCCTTAGGCATACATGACGTAGTCAATGATCAAGGGTTTGCAATGCATTATAGGGCGATTTCAAACACAGTCAGCCATTGGGAAGTTTTCCGACATGAGAGAATCAATACAGCAAAGCAAAACGGACGGATTGACTTCTTTTCTTATGTTGAATGTTTTAGAAGCAAAGATCTTTCAATAGGATTTTTCTAGAAGGACATAATGTGTGACAAGATAATCGTTATTGATCGTCAACACAGAGAAATGCAATCGCCATTATGCCGTAATATGGCGACTAAACCAGAATTTTTGGTCGCCAAGGATGAACTGCTTGTTGCATTGGCGCCGTATCGATCACAATTTCGAGCCCTGGGATGGCTTTTAAAATATTATGCCTGTGTTAAGCCTGCAGTCTTGCAAAAGGAAAGGGCCAAATTGGCCCTTTTTTCGTTTTTCTGGGGGCCATCTCTGATTATAACGCGGGATTCCCGCAATGGCGCGCTCTGGCATAAACACTGCATTTGCCTAAACCAGACTTCTTGGCTGAAGTTGTATTGAATGCACTCTTGAATTGTTTCGTTGTGCTTTGTAAACTGAATATAATTTAAAGAAACTTGAGGAATTGTACTCACTCTGTGCTTAGTTACACTCGGCAGAGATACTCTGCCGTATTTCCAGGTCCCCTCTGTATTGTTGGATTCATTCACTGCCCACATCAGCCTCTTGGTCTTGGTTATTGACTCTAATTGTTGATACAGACGGAGGACCCGTCTTCCAAAACCATACATGATATATCTGAATCGTACACAGACACTGTGCCCTTTGTAAGATCGCTCGAAGAGCGGACTTTCAAATGTAGATGGCTGAAGAGATTGGGACGTTTTGTTGGCAACCACGATGATGCGGGAACCTTGATTAAAAGTTAAGGTAGCAAAATGCATACGATGAGGCATTAAGTTGTGAGTAAGTGCAGGATATGATAATTCTTGTAACCATATTGTCTAATTATGAAATCACAGTGATGCGGGTCCGGAACCTTAATTGAAAATAAAGGTACATATATCATGAAGGCATACATGTACATTGTCAGAAGCAAATTTTTAATTTGGCTTTAGTGCCGGATATTGTAACTCTTGTAGCTAGTATGGCATTGTCTTATTCACCCACCTTCGCTGTCTCTACACAGCGCAGGTCTTTGAATATCTACATCTCCAACAAATCCATCAATAAACTGTGACCAGGGTAAGATGGCATTTGCAATGTTCTCGCCGCAGCCGTGCATCATCCAAAATATCACGCTCCTGTCAAGGACTTTGTTGAACATGTTCACTGAGCTAATAGAACCAATAAACTCGCCAGCTTTGTCGTCTAATCCTGCCTGATCTTTGGTTAGTGCAATAATAAATTCACCCTTTCCTGTTAAAACAATGTTTAGCAATTGAAATTGAATCAGGACTGTTAACAGGTGAAGGCTTTCTTAACTGAGCCCAAGGGCCAGGCAGTTCCCGAGCTAGAAAAAGCCGACCATTTTAATCTATAAAAGCTATTAAGAGTCCCTGTCCATAAAAATGGAAAATAACTCGGCAAGGGTCGAAAATTCGATTTCGCTCATATTTTCATGGTAGTTAGGCTAGGGCATGACAAAANGCAGGCACTCTTAATTACTAATTTATGGGGCTGTGTTGTTCTATACGTTCACGGGTTTAGAGTTTGGACTCTACCCAGGCAAGGGGGGAGATGAAGTCTAAGCTTGAAACCTTGTAGCTATAACTAAGTGACTTGACTACCTTAAAAGGGGGGGCGGTGCATTGTTGCCCACCCCACTCCCATTACCGGATATACACAAAGAAACAGAGACACTGATTATGGTGGCAAAACTTGGGTGGTAGGGAAGACAGAACTATGTACCCTAGAGCAGCGGCGTCTCTAGGGGAGCCGATGTTAGGAAGCAACATAGGATGGACCAGAAGAGGAGTCCCTTTCTGGAGGGACCATAGGCCGGATGACACCATCCTGGAGAGATCCGGACGTATCGCTCAGGATGATATAATGCACTTTGCAGTTTTTTTTCATGCTATATAAGCTTACTGTCTAAGCCAGTTAACTTAATGTGGATGTGAGCAACCCGAAAGCCTTAGCTACTTTGGTCACTGCGCACATTTTACTTTCTTTTTATTAAAATTTCTGTTTTTGTGTTATTTAGCTATAAAAATTTAAAATCGGTTAAAAATACACGACGTTTCGACGTTTTCGGTCGTCGTTCTCTTGACGTCCGAGAACGTCGAAACGTCGTGTATTTTTAACCGTTTTTAAAAATTTCTTAAATGTTTTTAAGAAAAGATTTTTCGCAATTTTTTATAGCTAAATGTTTTAAAAAGTCGCTTCTTTTTTGTGTTATTGTTATTAATATTACATAAGTTTTATAGACTTTGTTGTTGACAATATGTCAATAGTGCAAAAACAATAAAAAGTCTGAAATCTGGTGACAATAGCGTTTACTGTGGGGCGAGGTGCAGCCCAGGATGCACTTTGAGATCTTTAGTGACAAAAATTAAGGCAACTATGGTTAGTTTTCAGTAGCAAAAACGACAATAAAAACATTGCATTAGTGAAAAGTAATCTACATTTTGATGAACATAACTTTATATTTGGAAAATGGAAACATTTATCTATATGCTATCCATTTTGTCAGTAAAGTTATCACCAAATGGCAACAACAGTTACCCTACTACTACTCTACCGGTCTGAATTTTCATATAAACTTCAAAAAGAACACATTATTTTTATCGGTGAAATAAAAGGTGTTTTTTTTTTTAAGAAAAAGCAAGTCTCTGTGAATTTCCAATCGGTGATGTTCCAAAAGCATACCAGTTTTGTTCTAATCAAGTTCCTAAAACGTACATTTCAGTAAAAGCAATGGGAGAAAACTTAAATATTATCATGGATCATAAACATAGTTTTCTTATAATTTCAGCAATACGATACGTAAACACCATTGTTATAATAAATCCTTACCAGGGATTTTTTCTCCCACAGAAAATCCACTTCCCGAGAGCGGAGTCTGGTCAAAATAGAAATGGACCCTCCCACCTCGAGACCTCCACGCTAAACAGATGTGATGCCATTTACCGTCATTTGCAACGACACTCGTCTGTGACCTATCAGAATAAATTTGAAACTAACGTTAATTATCTTGAGGGGAAGTTTTGAAAATTCAGATTTTGTATCTTAAGGTTGACGACTTTTTTGCCCTACCAGAACATATGATAGCTTAAGTAATCTAATTGAAAAGTGTAGGACGATTAAGGAATTTAAAAGATTAGCTAAAAATGAAGTGTTTCAACA